TGGTACCTAGTCTAAAAATCTCACTGACATCGATGCGTAAATAACTGACTTACTTATCCTATTTTATGGCATATAGTTGCTGTCCCCTTGCAAAGGCTATTTAATAACAACACGTAAAACAGGTTTCCTCTTGCAAGCCTTCCCACTTTAACATGCCTAATTTACATCAACTTGGAGTCAGATTGCTTTTTTCGGGTTGCTTAGCCTGAATTTATACAAAACTATTTGGCTTCAATGTGTATGGAGCCTGTACATGTCTCCGTGATGATGAGCGCGAGAATATCAAGAAAAAGAGGACTTGTAGAGAACAATCTAGACTGTAAGTGAAAATTAAATTTCCTTTCATTGCACAACTTCGGTCGCAATGAAAATAATTGGGGATTGATTAGATGTTCTTCTCATTTCTACTGTTCATGAGTCTTGTTGGAGTACTTAATATCCGATAGTGAAATTGCCTCAGCAAATTGATAGTATGGATACCTTTCTTCTTAACATCATTAATACTCCTTATTTTTGTGTTATTTCTTTTGATATTATCTCAAATTATCCCAATTTTGTCTTGTTTATTGGACTTATCTTAGACTTTCGCTTTACTCAATCTTCTTGGTCCTTTATTATCACTGTTAACCTTAATATTAGGATTCTAACCTTTTAGCATGCAGTTGTTTCCCAGTTTTCGATAACCAATCATTATGCTTGTATATCAGTTGGTACATGTATTCACGCATTTTTTTTCTATCTTCCTCTACTAAGAATTCTCCCTGCTGATCATGCTATTCATAAACCTTTTGATTTTTCTTCTAACTATGCTCAGTTCACACGGCACCGCGTCCATTTGCCTCTATCGCGTAGTCTGCTGGCGGATCGAGCAATGCGAAATCGAGCCTATGCCAAGGCACTCTACTATCAGGAACAAGAGTTTCTGGAGGCCGTAGAAAAGCGTTCAGCCGGTCCAAGTCCCGCCACTTTGTCGGCTCTTCTTACGATTAACAATTGCCTTCAACTGGACGAGGCCGCTAATGGAGTGCTGGTGTATGCGATGCGAAACCCTCGTGACCAACTAGTGGGTCAGATGTAGCCTATCCTACATGAACTCACCTTTTTTCATTCTCACTTTTCTAATTAAGTCCAATACTAGACTCCCTATATATCCTTTTATATATTCATAGCCACATAGCAGGTCTATTATTCGAGTGAGCCCAAACAAGATTCATTACTTTACAATGCTTCTGCATTATTCACATTATTCACATGATAGGACTGCTAATTTATATTTGTCATTATTCAGTCTGTTTGAAAGTGCATTCAACTTGATTAACTTTTTATTATCAAATGTAGGCTTAAAACTTCGTGAATGAGCTGCTATTCATTTTAATCTGCTGCATTTATGCATATTTTGGAGACAATATTCTAATTTCGAAAACTGAACTTTAAGGTTTCATAATTACTTAGTCAATGGCGGGTAGACAAATTTGATCTGGCCTAAGTATAGTTAGGGTTTAATCTCGTTTATGCAACTTGGTTGCATTGTCAGGAATCCGCAGTCCTCTTCCATAGTGTTAATGATAATTGCGAGTGTCGGACCATGGATTTGGTTAATTACCAAAGAGTTCGCCAGCATCGTCAATGAATGTTCATCGCACCACAGCTCATCAAAATGAGGAATCACTTCTCTTTCTATACTAATCTTAGCTTCTTCTGCCTGCTTGTCCGTTAAGTTAATTAACTCAACCAGTATCTCAATTAAAGGATTTTGTTCATTTGGAAAGGCAAAGTTTAGGCCCTTTTCCAAGACAAACATAACAATAGTATATATAGATATACTGGATAAATTAATGACTTAATTTTTGCTAGAAAAAATATTACTAAGTTTAACTATTTCCTTATTGTTTAGACGATTCCCTGAGCTAATGTTAATGCCTAAATTCCTTAGTTTCTTATTATATCGGGATCTATAGATCTTATCCATCCTATTCGCCAAACCGTCCACCATTTTCTGCAATTTAAGAAAGTCTTCTTGATAAAATAACAGAGAGAGGAATTGTCCAATACTTCCTTTGGTTCTTATCAGGTCATGCAATTTGTCTATACTTTCTTTTAGTCTAGTCTTAACCAAACTACCTGATACATACTCCAGTTTCCTATTAGTGAAAATAGGTAAATCTGGACGACTACCAAGAATACAACATCTAAGTAATACACTTTGTAAAATACAGATTTTAAAAATCGTATAGCATTGACTTGCCGGTTTTCGTATTGCCAGAAGAGAGTTTAAAAGAATTCATACCATACGTATCCAATATATACGAAGAAAAGTTGGATTTCGAGGAATCCACTGTTTCATAATTGTGAGCTGACTTCCATTTCAAGGAAAGTGTTCGGTGAAGAGATTCGAAAGTCAATTCGACGGTGAATTCCACTTGACCAGCTGTTGATTGGCTTTTGGCTAATAATTACATGACAAGAATGGAGGAACACTTCAAGGAAGAGATAGGATTGACACCTAAAGTGTTGGATAGATTGGATGACTACTTTACCATATGGCAATATGGCAAGGATAGTTTAGATAATTTCTTGTTTTTAATTAACCAGATTGACTGCAATGTTAAATTGACAATGGAGATTGATAAAGAGAATAATAAACCCTGTTTATATGTCTTAGTGATCAGAGCAGGTGAGAAGTTAAGT